GTTTGCGGAGATCTCTGCACCATCGCGGTGGTTTGACATTGGACACTGTGTTTATAGTGTTATGGTCACTGACAAACACGTAAGCAGGGTACTTGATTAGGAAAAACAAAGTTCCATCACAGCACCTTTCTTCCCCTACTTATTAAGTCGAGTCTTAACAACAACATGCATGGCAACGGATGCAATAGAGGAAATGAAGAAATGGCGTCATGAGTCTAATTCTGTGCCCCTGGCTTTCTAGAAGTAGTGTGCAACGTATAAATAGTTCTTAGAATGTGTCAATTGGTGTCTTCGGCTGCCACTACTCTCGAAAAACATCGTGACCATGCCCAGACGCTTCAAAGGATAACGTACAGATCTATCCAAATGAGCAAAACATTGGGAGCACTTCGTACTTCTTGAATATATGGTTAGTGGGTGCCCCTTTCCTTTTGCCTTCCCTAGGCGCACCCCTATGCTCACTGAAAAGCACTACCTTCTAACGCAGTATCTTCAATGGTCCCCAACTCGAGAAACTTCTCATGGCAAAGTTTGTCAGTGTCAAAATATATTGTGTGGGTATTATGCCCAAATCACTGAGATTTTGAAGAAAATTCTGTCAATGCTTTCTCCTTACGCTCTTTTCAACGCTGTATAGACCGGAGCACGCTTATTTTGCTCCAAGACGACCATTTGGTTTTGAACTGCCTAGGCGTATCAGTTGCGCCGTATTACCACGTTCCATTTCTCAAATTCTGTTATCGCCCCAATGCACTACACAATTCTCAGCGCAAACCACGCCTGCAGTTTTTGAGAAGCTCCAGTACTGTAGAAAATCATTTCGATAGGATCACGCCCTCTGCGAACTGTACAAATTATTATGGAACATACATCACCGCCAGCGATAACGCTAGAACATTCGATGGCAAGAGTATAAATGCCGATGCACTTCGCCGCTTGTCAGTAGTTGATCGACGTCCGACGCTCCGTTCACTGCTATCTGTGCAACACTGCTACTGTAATTATACTTTCCGTGTAGCAGGCACAGGTTCGCCCCAAATAAACAGTTGAATCCCAACATAAAGTTTTCTGTCTTCAGCCACGTCACGACCCCATGACATCTGGTGGAGTTGCTGCTTCGTTCATGTACCGGACGCCCCCGTCAAGCCGTGAACCCAGCCCACATCGCGGAGAAGACACCGACACCAACCAGGAGCAGCGAACAAGCCACCGACAGCAAGGTCTACCACCGGAGTACGGGATACTACAAGACAAGGCGCGGAAGACCAAGGCCATGACCTTGACTGCAGTGACAATGACAACCGCAGCGTCATCGCTGCGGTTGTCATGGGTCATCTTCATGGGTTGTCATGGGTCATCATTATGGTTTCCATGGGTCAACGTTCGAAGACCCGCAGACCTGGCTAGACACATACGACCGTGTGGCCGCCCTCAACCACTGGGATACTGATGAAAACCTCCGTCGTGTGTACTTATATTTAGAAGACACAGCAAGGACCTCCCTCGAAAATTGGGAGTCCACGCTCCGAACGTAGGATGTCTTCTGCAGCGCATTCCTGCGAACGTTTGCGAGGGTCGCTCGCAAAGAGAGGACCGCTGCTTTACTAGAGACCCGAGTTCAGCTGCCAAATAAAAATGTAGTCATTTTCACAGAAGAAATGACCCGCTAATTCCGTCTCGCTGAGCCAGACATGCCTGAAGAGAAGAAAGTTCGTTTTCTCATGAGAGGGGTCAAACAGGAGCTCTTCGTGGGACTAATCAGGAATCCACCGAAAACCGTCCAAGAATTTGTATCCGAGGCGACCACTATCAAAAGGACCCTGGACATGCTCACCAGACAATATAATCGTCCCTGACTCCAGAATGCGCTGCTGCTCAAGCCAGTGACTCCGAAGGCCTGCGTAAAACAATCCGAGCGATCGTGCGGGAAGAGCTGCGCAAGCTGTTGCCTTCGGCTTAGCCTCAAGTGGATTCGATCGCCGACATTGTGCGAGAAGGAGTTCGGCAATCCCTTCTAATTCCCCAAGCACCGCTGCCCGAGCCGGAAACTATGAGCTACGCCACTGCAGTGCGCCACAACGCTCCTCCTCGTTCACACCAAAACGCCACCCCATCGCACTTCCGTCGCCAGACGCCACCACCGCCACCATCCCCACCGACGTCCTACCGTTCGCCAGCGAGCCAGCGCAGTGCGCCGAGGAAAACCGACGTTTGGCGTGCACCTGACAACCGCCCGCTCTGCTACCACTGCGGTGAGGCTTGGCACACATACCGCCGTTGCCAGTACCGACAGATGAGACTGCGAGGCTTTGTCCTCAATGCACCACGTCCGCAGCCAAAGGATCAGCCACGTGACATCGCCGACTATCTGACAGGAACTCAGTGGACACCTCGAAGTCCTTCCCTTTCGCAGTCACCCTGCCGCCGCATGTCACCGCGCCACCGGCAGTACTCCTGCCTAACGCGGGGCCGGTGTCCTAGCCCGTATGGTTAGTGATAGTTAGTGATAATGTTATGGTTAGTGATGTTAGTGAAGAGAAAATAATGGGACCCTACGTTTCTGCGTTGAATATCGCCGCCTGAACAAAATCACAAAAAAGGACGTGTATCCTCTCCCACGCATAGACGACGCACTTTATCGGCTCCATAACACCAAGCATTTTTCGTCAATGGACCTCAAGACTGGCTATTGGCGAATCGAATTCGACGAAAGAGACCGAAATAAGACGGTGTTTATAACACCGGACGGCCTCTTCAAGTTTAAGGTGATGCCCTTCGGTCTTTGCTCAGCGCCTGCAACTTTTCAATGCGTTATGGATACAGTACTGGCAGGACTGAAGTGGCAGACTTGCCTTGTGTACTTGGATGACGTCGTCGTGTTTTCCTCGAGTTTTGACAAGATTCTTCGGTGCCTTGAAGCTGTACTTCAAGCCATCAAGACGTCCGGACTCACACTGAAACCAGAAAAACTGCGGATTTGCGTACGAGAAGCTCTTGTTCCTGGGGCACGTGATTAGCAAGTCTGGAGTTCGTCCCAATCCACGAAAAACAGCCGCCATCGCCGACTTCCTGCCGCCCAGTGAAAAAAAAGGTGGTGCGCCGATTCCTGGGCCTGTGCGCCTATTATAGGCGGTTCTTGAAAAACTTCGCCCGCATTGCCGATCCACTCACTAACCTTACCAAGGCCGACATCGAGTTCAAGTGGGAAACGCCGCAGGAACACGCTTTACAGAAGCTTAGACATCGCCTCCAGAGGCCTCTGTTTCTTGCCCATTTCGACGAATTCGCCGAGACAGAAATACACGCTGACGCAAGCAGCGTAAGTCTCGGCGCCGTTCTTGTGCAGAGGGCTGACGGACTTGAAAGGGTTATTAGTTACGCCAGCCGATCGCTATCCAAAGCAGAAGCCAATTATTCCACAACAGAAAAGGAGTGCCTCGTCAAAATCTGGGCTACGTCGAAAGCTCGTCCCTACCTCTACGGCAGGCACTTCAAAGTTCTGAGCGACCACGACGCCTTGTGTTGGCTAGCTAACTTGAAGGACCCTTCAGGTCACCTCGCACGATGGAGCCTGAGACTTGCTTGTTAAAAAACCCCAGGTGGTCGAAATTTCCTGAGCCCTTCACTACGGCGTCTGTCATAATCATATGGCGGTTTTGGGACGTTAAACCCCACAAATTAATCAATCACAGTCGCTTAACAAATCTGCTTTCAGCCAGCGTCACCGTCGCGCAATAAAATTGTGCTCTTGCTGGTCCTTTCCCACCACATGTCAGTGCCTAGTGCCAGGTATGACTGGCAAATGATGAACACATGCGGTGCACGAGCACGAGCCGGAGCGGTTTGTGGCGTTACGGTGACGTTGAATGGAAGCATAAGTTTTGACTAGCGATAGTCAAGCGATGTCGCCGTTTGACTGCATCAAAAGTCATGCTTTTCACTGCACACGTTTGTTTCTATCGCGATGGTACGTACATGATAAATTTGCTCCTACAGACTGCAATTTAAGTCCTGCATATATCCCGCACTGTCGAAAGTCTCCTCAACGTTTCACAAGAAACCAACGCAGATTTCCAAAAGAAAAAATTGCCCGCAGCTTCCCTCGGGGGAACAGTGAGGAGGATGCGGAGCATATAATTGGTTACCGGGGTGTTAAAGTGCGACTTACTTGGGTCGATGGCTAAATTGGTTAACGTGGTTGTGAAATGGGGTGTTAAATTGCGACTTACTTGGGTCGATGGCTAAATTGGTTAACGTGGTTGTAGGAGGGGGTGTTAAATGAGTGAACACGTACACACGTATGCGAAAGGGCGGCGCTGGTCGAAGGGACGTCGATCATTGTGTTTGTGGATTCGTTGGAATTCATTTCACCGCGACCTTGGACGTCGACGCGCCGTACAAACCAACCGACGAGCGGCAACTGAGCGAGCGAGCGCCGACCTTGAGTATATATACAGCGCGACGGCGCATGTACTGTCAGCTGTTGAATGTTCTCGAAGCGCGACGCCACATGCGCGTCCACTGGAGAATCAGGAGAATTGTAGATGTCGAACGCGGTGTGTAGAGGAGGAAGGGTGCACAGATGGTGGAGGAGTGAAGCGCGCGCGGGGTGTAGAGGAGGAAGGGATGCACAGATGGTGGAAGAGTGGGCGACGGCGCATGCGCGCGCGTCAGCTGTCGAATGTTCGAGAAGCGGTGCGGACGGCGCGGACGGCGCACTACAAGGCGCGAGTATAAGATGCTTCCGCATCTAAAAAAGCTTGAAGCAGGCTCTAAACCGGACTAAGGCTGGGCAGTTTCACGTTTGAATGGTGGAGCGTCTGCTAGCATGCCAGCTCACGGTTTCACTACGCCACGCTTGCGACAGACGGCGCGACGTGGTGCCTAAGTATGGCGACACACACTGAACTCCCTGTGTTCCGGTGTATACAACAATCACCAAGTCATACATACAGTTTGCTAAGACTTGGAGCATGTTTGGATTTCGTGAAGAGACTCACCATTTTAGTTCGTGAGCTTTTCCGCATAGTGGAATGAAAACTTGGGCATTCGTCTTTCCAGCGAGGATCACGTCCTTGTTCGCAGCCAAGCGCCTGCATATTACAACCATGGTCAGTATGATTGCATCAAAGAAAAGCGAGAAAATTTCTATAATTACATTTACCGGCTTTTTAACCCTAATTGCTTGCATCGTGCCGGCAGTTTTTCTCCCAAAGAACTGCCTACGTACGTTGTACCTATATACCAAATAATTTACGACCCGTGTGTGACCTTACAAACGATCTTGTGCTCGAGGTATGCTGGGGGCAGAACCAACCACACAATTAAACGATGTTTTGAGGAATACCGGCAATTATTTAAAGCAATCCGCTTCGGGGCAGCATATTCCAAGGGTGAACTTCATACGCGTTCTGGGTGATTATCGAGGCTATTGTCAGAACGGCCGCACGATCGACCGTCAGACTTCCAAGGCGAAAGAGGTCATCCGACTAACCTCACGCATTTACAACAGTTGGGAGGGGGGTCTTCAAGAGCACAACCTCCTCAGGCTGTTCCATGCATTCTTGATGAGCCACATAAGCTATGTCGCATCTATGCACATGTGGCAACTCCATGAGAGAAATAAATTGAACATCCTCATAAGGAAAAGCATCAAGAAATTTCTTGGCCTTTCTGTGTGCACAAGCACTGGGAACCCTGTGAAACTTGGAGTCCACAACACGCTTGAAGAAATTATTGACGCTCAACAAACGGCACAGGTCGCCAGGCTTTCGATCACACCAGCGGGGAAAAAGATTCTGCTTGACAATGGAGTTGACCTCCTGACGCTCGAAGTGCAAAATACGCCACTTGAGGATTATATACGCTGTTGCGTCAAAGTGTGTTCCCTTACCTGAAATATGCATGAGCAGTACAACGTGGGCCGGCCTGTCGCTCAAGCCTCCCCGCTTTTAGCTCAAGCTCCCACCCACTCGTCTCCTTCATGCTTTGTTGATGCCGCCATGTACAGTGTTTCCCCTCACTTTGCAGTAATGTCCGTAGATGCTAAGGGTCAGATTTTATCCTCAGCGTTAATTCGACCCACTTCTTACAAATCAGAACAGATGGTCATTGCACTAGCTCTCGTTGATCTACAAAGAACTGATATTCATACGGACTCTAAACCTGCTGCTAAGGCCTCCGCTTCTGCTTGTGTGTGCAAGGAAGTTTTTAGAATTCTCGCTCACAAGGAACACGCGCATTACACTATTGTTTGGTTTCCTTCACACCTTGGCTTGAAGGTCGGGGGCCTTCTCAATGTCAACAAACTAGCCCACTCCAATGCGCGAGGCTTAACTTACCGCGCAGGGACTTGTGCTTCGAGAAGAATCAGCCTTCATTTCAGGGACCTTTTGACTACCTTAGCGAGATCACGAAGCACTATCAATTAAGGCATAGGTCCTTTCCACTGCCACACGAAAAGTTGTCTAGGCCACAGGTAATCTCTCTTCGCATGCTTCAGACGGTAACATACCCTAGCCTCGTAACTTATAGCCATTACACCGATATTTCAGAGGTTTGTCCAGACAGCCACAATCGCAGAGATTTTAACCACATGCTGTGGAGGTGCCCCTTTTCACAAATAAAACATTAAGAATTTTCTGAAAACTTTCATTTAATGCTCATGAGTCCGGTTTTCATACAACAACTCAAAGCTCTCCAGAAGGCCCACGATGCGGTGGTGAGGATGGGCCTCCCCGCCCCTACGTGAGAGCGGCCCGCAGTCCTACCCCTAAAAAACGGGGGTGGAATCCTTCCGGACCCCAATAAAAGTTTTTCATCTATCCATCCATCCATCTGCACTAAGTCTTTGTGTAAATGTCATGTTACCATGCCATGTCATGCTATATTTTAAGAGGACATGCAGGTATAAACGATAAATATCGGGAGAAAGAGAGTGTTCCCGGAGCCAACGCGAGTTGGTTCTAACAACAGTCTCCACAAGTTTATGTGGCCTCCTCAGTTGCGTGCGAAGACAAGTTGGCCACTCGGGAGCATCTTCATAATAAACTTCTATAAAGCTAATATCCTACTATACATAAAATCTTCATTTAGCATAAACTCAGTGGGTTGAAAAACAATAATAAATCTAAATATATTACTAAGTGTTTTGCCTTGAAAAATATATGCTATTGTTACAACCAGTAATGAATTTGCAGAGCCTTTGTGAGCTATTTTAGTACGCAGTATTTTTTTCTGGCTGCAAGCGTTCAAACTTAATGCTTTGATTGATTTTGCGAACAAAAACATAATCAGAAGCACTCATGGTAGCGCGAAGGAGGTATCACGACTATAAGTATTTTATGGTACGACGTCAAAAAAATGACCTTAATGTAGGGACACTCGCGGGCACCAACCATCGCTTACGGGCAGTGCCCACGCGGCGGCCTGGTACGTGCCGTCGGCAGAACGTGCAGACGGGCGTGAAAGGATATATGACAGGCAAGTGCAAGAGTTGAGAAGAGTGTCACTACTTATCATGTTACATGACTGACTGTTAAAGCATGCGGTAGCAGAATACGGCACTTGGTAGGGTGTAATATATTCTGATTTTGCACGGAGCGTGATGGTGACGACGACGGCAACCGCGAAACGGCGTCGAGAGAGCTCATGAAACTGCCATCACAATACAAATCGAAAAGGAGCGTTTGCGTACTACAAAGTGCCCAGTAAAAAAGCAACGCCAGATCCATGGCTTGAGCCTTTGAGTCGTCATCTTCGCACGCGTGAGGGACACAGCTTTTTTTAGGGGTGAAGTTCCTTACGCTGAGGGTCGTACGTCCCGTGTCGTCGTAGTCGTAGTAGTAACCAGTTGTATTGCATTGCATGTCAATAAAAATGACGTCACAGCGTGTCCCCGGAGTGAATGATGATGAGTGAGCGGAAGCGTCCGTCAGTCTGTCCGGGGTTCTGTGCATTCGTCCATGTGTGTGTCTGTGCGTCCATGTTTCTCACATTCTTAGTTTGAAGATCGACTAGGGCGATTAACCTCCCTGCAGAGAGCTTCGCCGCAATCGTCGTTGTTCACATCGTGTTTACGCTGTGATTTCTTTAACCTCTGTCATATTTTTGAGGTGCATCTTCGACCAGCAGTTCTTATTGCGTCGATTCTGAAAGCCCGGATAGCAACGCATTCAAGAGTAGAATATTAACCTGACTAAAATACAAAAAATAAATATACCATGCAGGCAAAAAATTACAGACAAAACAGAAAACACTTCCTTTCTGTTCTGTCCGTAGCTTTTCTTCCTCGATGTTACGCGTATTTTTTGTTATTTTCAGTAAGCATGTACTAACTAGCCCAACAAAGAGCTTTATTGTTGGCCTTGTCGGCGCTGCATCTTCAAAAGTTAAGCGCAACACTGAAATATCAAAGCACATTTACAGCTTTTTTGCCCTTTATCGCTGTCCCGTGCTTGTAATTTTATCACCGCGTTTAAATTTAGGAACAAAGCAGCATTGCATGCTCACCTACAAACGCCAGGACGTTGCCAAGTGGGACTACCTTCCTTCCACCATGCAGTCCAGAAATCCAGGCCGTCGTTTACAGCTACAGTCGTCATCGTGCAAATAGCTTTCACTGTTAGGGGTACGGGCACCGAGTGAAAACACTGAATGCGGTGTGCGCCTTTACGCCGCCAGCTTCGTTGGCAATCGAGGTCGATTTTTCTCTGACAGCTGGTGCCGCCAGTCAAGGACATTTGAGATGCACCGACGCAACACACTTGGGTTTCACCGGAAGCCAACCTTTGTGTTGCTGCGTATGTTTTCTACTTCAACGCAAGTGTTCACCTTCAGTGGAATGAGGCGTTGTGTCGATTCCAGTTTTTTTAGCTATCAGATTACTGAGGCCAGCGCTAAAAGCTGCACACGTGGTGCATGTCGCTTGGCGTGCGGCCTGAATAACATTTCAGCCGAGGCCACTTCAACGATGCTTTCGCATATCAAGGACAAACATACATTACGTTCCCTCTGCCACCAGCGTATGCAAAGCAGGCCCAAATGTTACCTCAAAATCTACAGCTAAATGAATTAAACAATTAGTTAAAACAAAAACCGCATAGCACCAATTGATTCTAGTTCCTACCTATAATGATGTAATTATCGCGTAAATATAAATGAACAAAATTGAATGATAATCTATCGCCTCACCTTACGCCGCCTGGCAAAATGTGTGTTCAAGACTCCCAGCTTTTTACTGGGGTTGTGGTGTCTAACGTTCTGAAAGATCAGCCGGGTAGAAATACCCTACGAGGCTGACGGAGATGCACCGCCCGTGGTAGCTCTTTTAGTGTAGCATCAGACCCGTAAATCAAAAGCTGTTGGTTATGATCCCACCGATAGAATCAGTGTATAACGTCCATTTTAATTATCTTTCATTCACTGTGGTTGAAAAATACCAGTAAATGTTCTGTGCTTTCTATGGCCTCAGTGTGTCGTATTCATTAAATTGTGTAAAACAAAAGAACGAGCCCTTTAAAAACTGAGATCGTCTTCTTTCATTGTCGCAACAGACAGGCGCTTAAAAGGGCCTTGCAACACTTCTTCACGTAGCCATGGAATGCACTCAAGAAAAAAGCTTACTACCTCGCGAATTCACTGCCGCAAAAGGTTTTAGAATTCGCCCAGTACGAGCGGAGTTACAAACGTTCGTCGCCTGCTAAGATCGCATTCTTCCTTCTCTTGTCGTGACGAAAACACTGGAAGCCAAGAAGGGAAGAAGAGAACGGGGAAAAGTGAGTACGTTCCGCGTGCCTTGTGAACTTAAGCGCATTTAGGAGCTTGCTCCTTGTGCTGGGGGATTGTCTCTCGTCGTTGTGCCGGTGTGTACGCTAGTGCTCATTGCTCCCACTAAAGACATAGTCGTGCCCTTCGTTTCTAGAGTGCTCACGAGATGGTGCGCCGCCAGTTAAGCGATACTCGCTCGACTCTCAGCGCGAGCTCTAGTTTGATGGAACCACGCCTATATATTGTCACGCACCGAGAGCCATAGAGACAAGACAGGAACAACGGGGCAGAAAGACACGAGCATGTTCTACAAATGAAGCGCTAACACACACTTCTTCGTTCTCTTTGCCCTTTTCGGCTGGCTAGGGCTTGCCGGCTTGCAACTCTAGGTGGCAATATTCCCCTTTCCATTAGAGCATCGACTCGATGCTCATACACAAGGGGACGGCAAGACCCATAAAGAAAAAAATAAAGAAAAGATACTTGTAGTGCACAGGGCATATGCAAGTGCAAAAAAGTCTGTGCTTGGTCATAAAAAAACATTAACACAGTTCACAGTTCGTTCGAGACCCAACGGACAGTGTAAATAAAAGGAAATGTCAACTGCTCTGGCGCAATAAGGCGAGTATCACCGCGTAAAATAAGGTTTTAGGCGGACGACATGCACAATCTCTGTTCGTGGTGAGTACCGCTGGCTTGTTGCCAAGCATCCGTCTGGAATAACCTCATAGTTGACCTCGTTCAACTGCGAAAATACCTTGTAAGGTCCAAAGTATTTGCTCAGGAGTTTCTCGCTGAGACCTCACCGTCTAACAGGAGCCCAAACCCACACTTGGGCGCCAGGTTGATTGGTGACTTGTCGATGTTGGATATTGTACCTTCGGGCCTCTTCACATTGCTGCAATCTTATGTGCACGCGAGCTAGTTTACGTGCTTCCTCTGAACACTGAATGTAATCCACGACATCAAAAGTTAGCAGCTCGTGCTTGTCGATGTCACAAGGAATCATGGCGTCTACCATGGTTCGCACGTCTCGACCACAAACGAGGTGGAAGGGTGCGAACCTTGTCATTTCCTGGGTTGCGGTGTTGTACGCGAACGTTACGTACGGCAGGATCTCGTCCCACGTTTTATCCTGCACATCCACGTACATAGAAATTATGTCCGCCAGCGTTTTGTTTAGCCTTTATGTCAAGCTGTTACTCTGGGAGTGGTATGCGGTTGTCTTAGGGTGCTTCGTGTAACTGAGCGTGACGATGTCGTTCAACAGTTTTGCCGTAAACGCTGTCCCTCGGTCAGTTATTATGAATGACGGGGCGCCGTGACGAAGCACAATGTGGTGCATAAAAAACTGGGTGACTTCAGATGCTGTACCACGTGGCAGTGGCTTTGTCTCAGCGTAATACCTCAAGTAATTAGTTGCGACAATGATCCACTTGTTTCTGGAGCAAGACAAAGGAAACGGTCCAAGGAGGTCTATTCAAACCTTGTCAAACGGCGTACGCGGTGGATTGATGGGCTGTAGGAGACCTGCAGGCTTTATAGGTGTTGACTTGCGACGCTGACATTCGCGGCATCCTTTCGCGTAGCGTTAGACACAAGCTGCGAGTTTTGGCCAGAAATATAGCGGTCGTACTCGGTCGAGCGTCCGTGAGTATCCCAGATGGCCGGCTGTCGGCTCGTCGTGGCAGGCTAATAGGATGCTATCACGAAGGTTTGAGAAATGACTAGAAGATAAGACCTACAGTCGACACCGGTGTTTTTCTTGTATAAGCAAAATAACGGCAACGTAAGGGAAAGTGGACGAAGAACAGACGCGATGATACCTTCTAAATGATCAATGATGGTCCTTAACTCGGGGTCCACTCATTGCTTACCGAGGAGGTCCGCCCTTCTGAGAGTCCCCAAGAAGGCACTGTCGTCTTCTACAACTGTATAGTCCGATTCCAGAGATGCTCGTGATAGCGTGTTGGCGTCTTCATGCTTTCTACCTGACTTGTATAAGATGGTTACATCGAACTCCTGAAGTCGCATACTCCATCGTGCGAATCGTTCAAGGGGGTCTCGGAGGTTAGCCAACCAATAATAAAGCGTGGTTATCAGTCACAACTTTAAATGGGCACCCAGAGAAATAAGGCCTGAACTTTGTCATCGCCCATATTACCACGAGACATTCCTTCTTTGATCTTGAATAGTTGGTCTGGGCACGTGATAGAGTGTGGCTCGCGTAGGCAATCACATGCTTGGTCCCATCTTGTGTTTGCACCAAGATAGCTCCGAGACCAATGTTGCTTGCGTCAGTGCGCACCTCTGCGTCAGTGCCCTCAACTAAATGACCAAGTACGGGAGGAGTAGACAATTGATGTTGCAGTTCTGCAAAGGCAGTCGCTTGTTCGTCGGTCCACATAAATGGGGTGTCGTCACGCGAAAGTCTGATGAGTGGCTCCGCAATTTCAGACAAGTTTTCAACAAAGCGGCGATAGTATGCGCAGATCCCTAGAAATCGTCAAAGACTTTTCTTGTCTGTCGGAGCTAGAAAAGCGGCCACAGCGGCAGTCTTCTCGGGATCAGGCCGAACGCGTGCAGCGCTCACAACGTGACCCAGCAACTTCAGTTTTCTGTAGCCAAAAAGGCACTTCTCAAGCTTGAGGGTAAGGTCAGTGGATCTTATAGCTTCAAGAACACTCTGAAGGTGACGAAGGTGCTAATGAAATGTTTTTGGAAAACAACCACATCATCTAGATAGACAAGGCAACTTTTTCCACTTCAAGTCAGCGAGAACAGTATTCATCATTCGTTGGAATGTAGCCGGAGTGGAACAGAGGCCGAATGAGAGCACTCGAAATTCGTACGAACTGTCAGGAGTTACAAAAGCCATTTTTTCGGGATCACGTTCATCGACTTCAATTTGCCAATAACCACTTTTGAGGTCGATTGAGGAAAAGTACTTTCCTCGCTTCAGCCTGTCAAGAGAAACGTCCACTCGAGGCAGCGGGTACACGTCTTTCTTTGTGACGTTATTCAGCTTCCTCTAATCAACACAAAAGTGAAGTTTACCATCCTCCTTTTTTACAAGGACCACTGGCGATGACCATGGGCTGCTTGATGGCTGTATTACATCGTCTTAAAGCATTTCTTTCTTTTGCTTTTTAGTCACACGTCGTTCGGTTGGTGAAACGTGGTAAGACTGTTGTTGTATAGAGTTCCCGTCGCTGTAGTTGATACTACGGTGTTTGGTAATCGATGTCGGACAAATTCTCGATGAAGGTGCAAAATACGCGCGGAATTCTATCAACAGGTCGTTAAGTTTTTCTTTGTTTTCGTCAGAAAGCGTTGGATTTATGTCGACGCGCTGGAGAGGTGCTTATGCAATATCGGTTGCCTCGGTAGCGAAACACTCAGTCACATTGGTTACCGGGTAGGCATAGGCAATGACAGTACCAGGAAAAAGGTGTTGGCGCTCGTAGCTGAAGTTTGTAAGAAAAACCTCGCAGTCGCCAGCCTGGAGGTCTACCTGACTTCGTGGTACGCAGACACCTTGGGAAAAAAGTAGGGATCGATTGCTCTCTGCCAACAGTTCACCGTGTGCTGATTTTTTACATGCCACTTGAACCGTAACACTTGAGCGTGGTGGTATCGTCACAGCATCGTCAAATACACATACAGGTACTCGATCGTGGCAGGCATTATGCTCTGGTGTGGTGCTTTTTTGTTGAGAACGTGAGGAGGCGTTGGCATATGTCGACGATAGCACAGTGCTCCCTCAGAAAGTCCATGTCAATGATCAGGACTCGAGAACACGGATGAAAAAGGCTCAAGCTGACAACAAAGGTAGAACCACGAATCTGCATTCGTGCTGT